GGATATTTTATATCTAGGGAATCTCATGCCAGTAGAGTGGCACTAACATCAGCTGAGTTTTTATGCAGTTTTTCCAACCCTACCTGGCAATACAGATAGTCCTCATTTAGCGACCGTTCACAGTTACGATGGCAACGAAAAAGTAACTTTATGACCAAGCCTCACATTTATGACCTTTGCAGGTCTGTAAAGCAAAGGAAAGCTGAAGTAAGATTGTAAGCACAGTCGCAGTTTCACTTAGCAGCCACTTCACTTAATGACCAAGTCCCAATTGCAGTCACTAAATAAGAACTATCTGTACTAGGGCTTCAACTGGGAACCTCCTGCATATAAGGCTGGCGTTCTACCACAGCCCCTTCTTTGCAGTGATGGAGCCCCTTGGTGATGGCTTTTCAAAATCCAGCAGATTCCTGGCTGTTAAACCCCTTGAGCAGATCCTGATTTGGAACAATTATTGTCAGAACTGAGAGGAATAGGACAGGTGGAAGTCACTGCAGGTACCTTGCCTTCCTCCAGCAGTACAAATTTAGGGTATCAAGTGCTTGCTTCATGGAAGGGATCCATTGAAACGTATGTGAGAATGCCATCTTCTACACAATAAAGCTATTGGTTAAAGAGAGTGGAAGGAGTACAGCTGTGTCCCTGAAATGGGGTGATGTCAGCCTCACTTGGTAGACCAGACCAGGAAATCAACTCCACAGGAAGACTAGAATTAACTATATTGAGATTGGCTATAATAACAGAATTTTGCAAGTCTGATTGTGCTGAACCTTCCTCCCCACCCTGCTTCTTATACTCCAGTGAATCAGGGAGGTGTCTGCCTAGCCCACTTCCTAATATCATTTCTCAGGGCTAAAAAGATGTTTCAGCCCCCTCTGCCTAGGTAACAGTTCTTGCTTATTTCTGTCAAGGTCATCTTCCTTACTCTCTACAGGTAGCAACAAAAATTAAATCAGCATTTGAGACCTGAGTTAACCTTGTCCTGTTGAATCCCTCAGTCTGACTCCTCTTCCTGCCTCACCAACGTTTTTGAGACAATTCAACACATTTCACCTTTAACTTTTAAAAGTACATGAGCTGAATTGCACAATATAGCAGGGAGCTAATTTCTTAGGGAAAAACAAACACTTTCTCTCTTTATAGTAGAGATCTTGCATCAAGAAAGAAAACTGCTGATGGGTAATTCATGAGATGATGCCCTCTCAATACATGCACAATTCATGTGACGCTACTAATAATGCAAAAATGGCATTATCAGTAACTAAGCATGTAAAAAGTAAGTGTCTGGGGAGGCCTGTTAAAGCAACCAAGGAGAAACAGATGATTCTGTTATTCAACATTTCATTAATAAAGTCTTTTTTTTTTTCCTACTGGAACCTAAGTTTTTTTTTCCCCTGAAAGGGGTATGTGTTTTCCACCTCACTCTTCCAAAATTAATTTCCTTGCAGAACATCAGGTTTTTGTTTTTAATTTACTGTATTCATGCACATCACTGAATTTGGGAATATTAAGGGGGGGAAAAGGGATGTAAAATGTTGCATATAGTAAGATGGAGTTTGAAATGATTGCCTTAAAAGTTATATTGGAAGTTTACATTAAAAAGGTTTGTCAAAATCAAATTTTGAAAGCAAGATTTTAAAATTTTCACACTTTGAGTCTACTTCCTGCACATTTTAAACATTTTAAATCACATCTTGACCGGCACATCTTGACCAAGTTTTAGATTTCCATGATATGTGCACATTACATGGCAGCTTCCATAGCGTGGAAGGGCATTCTGGAAGAAAATATGGAACTGGAGCTGCTCCACTGAGTTTGATTAGCGTACAGTCTTTCAATTCGTATCAAAGCATGTGTTAACAAACTGCCATCCTTATTTCACCTCTGCAGTCATTTTTGGTACATTCCCATCTACACAGATTTCCCTTCCTAAAATCACATGTAAAGGTTAAGTGTGGCTTACCAGTAACTCAATACAGGGGCTGTGATGTGATGGTAAAAAGGTAAGATGGAAGAAGGAGGAAAAAGCAAAGAGGATTTGAATTTTAAAGGAAAGATGGTTGAGAGGAGACACTATAAGATTGCATCTCAATCAATCTCATGTATTTGTCTTTTAAACGTACCTTTTAATGCCATGTAAGCAGAAAGCATAATATAAAACATGACAGCTCCTAGCACATGGATTATCTTATTTGTGTAAAGGCCAGTAGAAGTCATACATACTGCTTGGTATGTATCTTTTACAAGGCATAAATACTTGTCTACACTAACATTTATCTCATTTATCTGGTTGGAAATTGGAAGAAAGATTGGCAGGGCAAGCTTATCTGTTCTTTCAGAGGAGAGTGTCAAGCCCCTTAAGAAAGCTAGATCCTCCAAAATCTTGTTAGTCAGGCATATTGCAAGGAAAACAGATAATAGATCTTGGAAACTGGATGAGCGTATAGTTAGGGTGAACTGCATCAAGGAGGACCTACTATGCTGTTCACCCTAACTATACACACATCCAGTTTCCAAGATTAACCAACCTTGTGTCAGTAAGTTCATTATAGCAGGTCCTCCTTGATGCAGTTCACCCTAACTCACTCTTGATTTCAGGAGGCACTTGCTACCCATTCTTGGTCTGCAGTGTTTTGCAAACATCCATTCTAGTTCCCATGCTCAGAGAACTGCATTACCTGATAGTGGAAGGTAGTTGTTCCCTCTCTCAATTACTCATGCCAGCACCAAGACTGGTGTTAAGTGTGAAGACCATGAATGCACACTGGGACAATGTTGGATGCACAGCTGCCCCAGCCCAACTTCCTTTTAGTCCTTTTTGAAACTGCCAATGTTGGAAAGAGCTGAGCTCTGAAGCTCTCAGGGAGGTTGGTAGGAACAGGTTTCCAGTGTTGTATTGCCTCTCTTTCAGGTTCTAAAAGAGAATTCAGAAAAATCCTGAGGTCTTCAGGACATTTGCTTAGAGACTACAGAACTACAGTCATTCTATACACCAAGAGTATATTGCAGAGGGTCAGGGAACCAAATACAAGCATACACAGATCCCTTCACAGACACGCACACCATACATAAAATTCCTTGTCCTTCTCTCTCCCTTGTTACCCAACTCCTCAGTGATCCGGTGCAGATCTCTGGTTTCCTGTTGTCAATAGCAAAGAGACAGCAGTATTGCAGTCTCTGCCAGGCAATAAACAAGCTGGTCTTCACCAGTTACATCATAATCTTGTCATTAATGGCAGCAGGATCCTGGTGATCCATTTCCTGATGATCCACCCATTATGGTGATCAGCTAGGCAGTGGGAAAAGGGATGCTCCTATGGAACTAAAGATCAGACATTTTGTAGTTAAGACACGAGCACCAAGTTGCCCACTCAACCACACCGCAATTCCCTGGGAATAAATTCCACTGAACTCAATCTAGCTTACTTTTAAACAGACATATTTCAGACTGAGCTATCAAATCTTTGGAGACTTATAGTGGGGTGGGTAGGGGAGAGATGATAGATTACTATTAACCCCCAACATAGGCCAGGTCAGGAAATGCACTCCACAAGTAATACTGGAACTCTACTTTATTGATCAAGGCTATAATGCCAGAATCTTGAGAGCCTGATAGGGTTTCCCCTTCCCTCACTCTTAACCAAAGAGAGTCAAAGCAGGGTCACTTTAAGTTTCTTGTTCACGCTATCTCATTTTCTGGGCTGAATTCATGTTTTGCTAACCAACTTCGCATCCCTTCTCCAAGGTCATCTCTGTGGTTCTTTACCATTCTAGTCTTCAGTCCTCTTCCCTGTAAGTGTATAGAAAAAAGCATTTTCCCCCTTCCTTTTCCTTGTAATACGAATTCCATATCAGTATATACAACTAATTGGCAATATGTTTGAGATCATCAAAAAGTACTTCTTTATAATGAATATAAAGCATTTACTATTACTACAAGAAATGTTCATGGAGATTATTGCATTAGGGAAAAAAACACTCAGCTTTTCCAGACTCTCTGATTAACTAGCAATTAATGAAAATAGTTAAAGCATTATAACTTAAAAACAATAACAAAATGAAAACAGCAGAAACAAAGTTCCGCACAGGAGAGAAATAAAAGGAAGCTCAACTGGTATTCTAACAGAAGCTGGGGGTTAGGGTGGCAGAAAAGGAAAAAAAAAATGCCTAAAAGGTATCAGGTTCCCCAAAGAGCATTCTAGAAATGGGAAGGAGGGAATAGAGCAGAAAGGATCTTCTTCTTAGCTACACCATGTCTAACCTCTTGTATTTTTTACAAGATGGGATAAATTAATCACAGGGTATTAGCGATATAGTACATTGCATTAGATATTGTCTATATTCAATGCAGAGCTATAAATACTAGATATTAATGCCTGTGGACTGCTCTTTTTGTTAGTCATTATTAAAAAACAAGAATACTGTTTGCTCTGATCCAACAATGCATTTTTTTCACATGGTATGTGTTGGCTTTCTGTTGCCCGTACTGATTATATCTTGCATATATAGGGGTGTACATCCACATGACAAAGAAACTCAGAGAAAACTAATAGATGAGCTGTATTGGGTGAAGAGGGAAGAAGATGGGAAGATTACAGTTGTTCCTACAGAAAAGTTTTACAAACCACTGTGTGTTCTCACAACTGGGGCAGGGCAAAGAAATGTAGGCGCCACATTTCTGCTAGTCCTGAATATCTGATCTGGAACATTTGGAACATCAGTTCTTAATGTTTTTCACATACATACTTACATACATACATACATACATACATACATACATACATACATATCCTTTTGCCTTCACCAAGTGCTAGAGAAGATGGGACCACAGCTACAACCTGTTGGTGGCAGCATTGTGTCAATGACCATGGAAGAACAAGCTTAAGATTGCTGAAGGAGATGCCAAATCATACAAAAGTCCACATTTGGAAACAAGCCACTTATCTCTCAGTTCATCTCAATGGCTTGGGTTATCATAATATAATTGATGTAACATAAAAATTGAGAACCGTGTCTTGCTATGTAAACTCCATGCCCTCAAGCAAGCAATGCTGTTTCAGTTCTCTGATCAGCAACACAGAAGGCAATAATTCTGACTCAAGGGATTGTTGCAAGGACAAATGTTATCTGATGTGTGTAAAATGCTTTGCACACTTGAAAGCAGCACTGCAGTTAGGAAAGGCCTGGCCATAAGTCCAGGTGTGATTTAATAGCTAGAGCTAGGCCTTTCTTTCAAAACATAGCAGGGACCAGGACATTGTCTAGTCTTCTAAGACAGGTTGAACCACAAACTGACCAACCACAATTTAGTGTGCTGTGCAAATTGATTCTGGGTGGCTTATGGTTCAGTGTGTGTTCAAATCCAGAAAAGCAGATTAACCCAGAAAATTATGATTCACTTAACTATAAGTTAACATGTCATGTGGATACAGTCATTTTAAGAGAAGTAACATGGGCCCATCTAGAGGCAAGAAAAGTCCAGAACAGAAAGCCACATATTGGAGGTTGCCAATGTGGTGCCCATGGGCACATATGCCCACCAGGTTGCTCATACTCTCTTGATTTTGTCCCTGTCTTTATGGAGACAGTGAGGAATGCTTCATAGCTGCCATAGTCACTTCAATTTGCAGTCACGGTAGAGTGACTGACTTCTGTTTTGCTGCCAGACAGAACTTTCCTATAACCTAAGAATAGCACAAACATAACACTTTTCAGTGAAACACTTCAGAACTATATCTGCAGCTGGCTCATACACCTACGCCTGAGCTGAAGTTCTCTTTGGCCATCCTTTAGTCAGCTGAAAACTATGCTGTTATGAAACCTACTGTCCCGTTGCTGATCTGTATCCTCTTCCAAGTAATTTAAGTAATCTGTCCTCCAAAATAGTGGGTGACAAAGCCTAACAGATTTTATACATCTTGAGGGTGCCCTTGGATGTTGTCAGAATGAGCATAAAAGTACAATTTTACACTGGTACAGCTAAACATGGCCTAAGATTGTCTCATTCATAGGCTGGGAGTGAGACAAAGGCACTGTCATGGGGATACGGCTGAACAGAGATTTTACCAGCACATCAATGCTGTGGTTAGGCACAAATGGGGAAGGGCTCTTCAGCGCCTTAAAAAGCAACAGAATTATGGCATGAGCTTCTGAAAACTGCACCCCACAAAAGCATATGCCTTTCTCCTCATTTTGTAAAATAACAGAATCAGTTCAAATATTCAGATGGAAATTGAATCAAGCAACGTATATGCCAAGCAAGCAAGATACACATCAGTGGACACGACCTCATCCTATGCGTACTGCTGGCTAAAAACTCTCCTTAATTTCAGTAGAACTTGCTCTAAAATAAATGTGCCTAAAATCATAAGCCTTAAGCATAAGGGTGAGATAAGTATGCCTTATTTTTTTGGGCGGGGGATGCCTTCGAGACAGTCTTGACGCCTGGCGAGCGCTCGGACAGGTCCCTGCAATTTTCTTGGCAAGGTTTTGGAAGGGGCTTGCCATTCCCTGTTTCCTAGGGCTGAGAGAGAGGGACTGGCCCAAGGTCACCCAGATGGCTCCGTGCCTAAGGAAGGACTAGTCTCCCGGCTTCTAGTCCAGTGCCTTTAACCGTTGCACCAAACTGGCTTTTGAGCTTTATTTGGAGTACCTAATTAAAATACTTAAGATTCATTACACTTGGGGCATTAAGCTTAAGGAACCATTCCCACTGAACACGCATAGCCTCGGCCCACGCATTTCCACCTGTCCGCCTTCACTGACCGCTAATGCAGGACTCCCTGCCCCATCAACCTCGCCCGTTGGTGCTCCAGACTAAACACGAGCAGGCTGTAGAGGGGGGCGGGCGGACGCCCCCCCTCAGCCCTGCCCAGACTTCTAAGCCCGCCACCAAAGGAACCTCAGTAAGCCCCGCCCCCTCCCCTTACTTCATTCCCGCAGGCTGTGGCTCGGAGTGTAAGGCAGGAGACGGTGCTTCACTCTCACGTTCCGATTGGTCAAGCGGAGGAGGGGGCGGGAAGGAGAGCCCCGATTGGCTTCGGCAGCCGAGGGAGGGGCGGGGACCGGCGCGGTGGCCCGGCTGGGCTGCTGCATGTAGCGGCGTCCTCTTTTTCTGTCTGCCTCCATGTTGAGTGGATCTCGGGGCTGCGGGAGCGAAGGTGCCTAGGCTGCTCGGGGCTGCCGGGATGGAGGAAGGCCGTCCCGCGCTCTTTAGAGCGGGACCTCCTGGGCTGGGGCTTGCTGAGCTGGAGCTAGGGGAGCCGGGCGGAATAGGCGCGTGCAGGGGCAGGGGTCGGCTGGATGGCGTGGCGCTGCCCGGAAGCGTGGGTGGCTTGGGGCCTCAGGAGGAGGAGGGTCTGCTTCGGGAGCCCCGGCGCTTCGGCGGGGCTGGTAGCCCAGGTCACCGGGCTGGGGTGCGGGCACAAGGCTGGCTGCGGAGACGGAGGGAGGAAGGGAGGTCCGCGGGACGGACGTCCTCCTCGTCGGTGCGTGCCTGCTCTGAGGAGAGCCGGACAAGATCCGCGAGGGCCCGGAGGGTGGTCGACTTGGGAGCGAGAGTCGCCAAGGGAGGCCCGGTGGGCTGGCTTGCTCGCTTGGGGTCTCTTGCGGATGGCCGGGGCCCCGGTACGGTCAGGAACAGCGCAAATCCTTCAGGAGGGGGATCGGAGAGCAAGCCCGAGTCCTCACCCTCATTGGAAGCAGGCTGAGCCCTCGCAGAAACTTAGAGGGGCGGGGGGGGTACGAAGTAGATAGTAGAGTTTGTTTACGAACCGCGCTATAAGAGGCAGGTGCACCTGAGGGAACTGCATCTTTTGGTGGAGGAAGAGCCTCCCGTGCCCTCTGCATATATCTGTTTTTGTCTTAAAGAGGTGGTTCTGGAGTGGGCATGGTGGCTGGAGACCTGGCGGCGGCATCCTAGTGTGCCTTGGATATTCTGGAGGAGTTGCTTTTCTATCCCAGCTAGTCGGCTCCTGAAAGTCTGTTCAAAAATGGCTTGGGCTCTGAAGCTGCCCTTGGCGGACGAAGTCATCGAGTCAGGCCTAGTTCAGGATTTTGATGCCAGCCTTTCTGGCATTGGCCAAGAGCTAGGCGCTGGTGCGTACAGCATGAGGTAAGTAAAGAACACGATTCTGCCCAGTTTTTCACGGAGCTGTTCACGTTGGGGAAACGCTGCATCCAAAAAGATTGAGCTGGGAATGTTTTGACTGATGTCACGTTGAGGAGGTGTGGTTAGATCAAATATGTGTTGTTTTGCTGTATTAAGTGAAGTAGCTGATCTGGTTGGTTACAAGGCATAGAACCCGTGTTGAACGGCATTCCCTGTTTGCACCATGTGGTAACTGGTGGATGTTTTGAAAGTTACTGTTGCATGTTCTTTAAATGGTGGGTGAGCTGCACATTGCATTTGTTGGTGTGCCTCAAAGCTGTCCCTGCCAAAATATCTGTAGCATGGTAGGGCTTTTTGTAGTATGGACCTATAATATTCTAGGAGGTGAAAAAATTATCATATTATGAATAAACTTGGGAACTTCAGTCTTGCTTCTGGTTCAGCCTCATATCTGAAGTAATGAAACATATTGATTATGACTGGGCAATAATCCTAGTTGGATAACTAATACTTTCTCTTAATTTTGAATGGTTATCTTGTACTTCTTTTCTCAAGATGTCTTAATATATTCTTACTATACTACATAGAACAAACTCTTACTTTAAAAGAGCGTATTGGTAAAAGTTTTATGGAGCATGTAAACATAACAAAGCAAACCTGCTCTTTCCTACAAAGTTTTGTTACATAAATAATTCGATTAAAATGCTGTGTAACTAAGTGAGTTCTTATTTTATTTATAAGAACATTTATATGGTTCCTTTAACAACTTTTTTGTAAACAGAGAAATCTGCAGTCATGAAGGCTATCAGTTTGAATGGATGAAACTATTTAAAGAAGGGAGGGTAGATCAGATGTTCTTTGATTATGATGGAATGTCCAGATTTAAACCTCATAACTCAGTTCTTTTTGTTCACTGAATTTATATTTATAGAATTTCTTACTTCTTTCCACTGATAAAACAATCTCAGAGTGAAATAGGATGTTAACATAAAAATATAACAATAAAAAGAAGAAAAGGGAAGTGAAACCATATAAATACAGGAGGACATAGCATATAATAAAAATGAAAAAGTGTCAAAATTGAATGATGTCCTAATACGTTGCACAGAATCAAAAGCCTGACATCTCTTTGCTTGATGGTGTGCTGGTAATAACAAAAACTGTTGTGAGCCCAACTGTCTCTGTTGGCTGGATGCACATGTTGTGCTAAGTCGTAATATGGTTTATTTGGTTGAATAAGCCATGATTTATTTTAGGTCAGTGACAACACTGGCTTACAGTTCTAAAATCAGTAAGACAACAAGCCATTATTTCAACCTTTGCTTTATTGCCCTAAAATCATCGTTTAATTGGTGAATGGGAATGTATGTTCCTTGGTTTATTCCTAGTTTTGGCTGAGCATATTTGTGCCTTTCTCAAGCTATGTTTTTGCATTGGACAATACTTTCCATTATTTAAATCCATTATTGTCCCACAGAAAATAAGCTGCAGACTTAGGCACCTGATGTTCCCTCCCACAGCTTATTGCATGTTCGCATGGTTAAGTCTTAGGTCTTTGTCATTATCTACACTGATTGGTTAGATAATTCATGCCATGTACTTGCACTGCAGTTCAGGAAAAAAATAAAGATGAAGTCCCACCCACACAACCTAAAAGAAAAAAAAAAAGTATGAGTTTTCCTAAGTACTAAGGAAAGTGTCTACAAGCGCTGTGGTATCTGTAGATGCCATCCTGGACTTGCATATCTGCAGTTTTAAAACAAAAATGAGGCTGCTTCCAGAATACCATACAAGATCCTGTCCAACTGGTTTATGCCATGTGATATATATGAAACTGCCCAGAAGAACATAAACTTTGAAAAAGTGTGATTTTATTACAGTATATGTTCATGTAAGAATTTGTGTGTATGCTGACCTTTAGCCTAATAGGTGTAAAAAAATGTGTTTAAAAATGTATTACCTTGGAAAGCTAACTGTTGTGGATTCAGTCTGAAGAAGGAGCACAACATTGAGAAGAACCATGTTTATTGCAACAATCATTGGGTGCCTGCTTTACAAGAAAGAGAGACCCTGAACAATGAAAAAGCAAAGATTGTTATAGAAGTTGGGGGCTACAAGGCGGGAAATCATAGGGATCTGACTTGCTGACCAATTTGGAGAAGCTAGGCAGGTCCTTGTCAGTGTGCCTGAGGTGAGTTCTATTGTTTGGTAAAATGAGCCTTTCAGGAGGGCAGCAGAAATGAGGAAGTTCATTGTGAAGGAGATGGAATGTTGAAGTCATCAGTTGATGGAGGATGGAATGATTGCTATGTTGCAATTTTCTTGTAAGGAGGCTTCTATTCTTTAGTTTGATGGGACTGAAGGTGCAACTTCTGTTTTGTTTGTTAGGTTTATTTTCTCAATTAAACTAATCAAATACTTCAACAAGAATAGGTAGACATCCATAAGACACACAAAGAAAGTCTTCTTTCTTCTATACTCATTTCTTTTCTTTTTTTCTTTAACAAAAGTGTTATTGAATTGCAGGCCAGAATCAAGTGCAGTAGTGCTTAAAAGTTTGTGAAGCCTTCTGAATTTCCAATATTTCTGCATAAATATGATCTAAAACATGATCAGTTGTCCACACAAGTCCTAAAACTAGATAAACAGGACTGGATTCTCTTTATCTAGTTTTAGGACTTGTGTGGAGAACAGATCATGTTTAGGTCATATTTATGCAGAAATACTGGAAATTCAAAAGGCTTCTTTTAAGCACCACTCTGTATCTGAATGTGGCATTATATAGAGCTATAGAAGAAATAAACAGCAATTTCAGTTAGGCCTGGAAGCCAACTAATAGGTAGCGCAGTAACTTCAAAATAGGTATTGTTCTAAATGAATAGGAGAATTGGAACAAAAACATAAAACCAACCCAAACAGTTGATGAAAGAATGGCAAAAAATTAATCAGCAATTAAATCTATTAGAAATAGAAGAATTACAGAAGAAGATAAAATTTGCCAAACAGAAGAATTTTGAACATGCACATGAACCAGGGAAATTATTAGCTTACCAACTGAAAAAAGAAACACACAGAATTATCAGTAATAAAAAAGGATCCAAATTGTTACACTGAAGATCAGAAATAATAGGAGAATTGGCAGCTTCCTTAAAAAATTATGCTCCAAGACCAGTATTGACAAAGCTGTTATAAATAAATATCTCAAAAAGTTGGTCATCAAAGAATTCAGTAATCAACATAGGCAAATATTAAGCACATCTATAACTGTTCAAGAAACAAAAAAAAAACCCTAAAATTAAATTGGGAAAAGCACCAGTCCTCACTTAGTGACCATTCGTTCAGAGACCATTCATAGTTACGATGGTGCTGGAAAAATAACTTTATGGCCCATTTATGACCATTTATGACCTTCGCAGCATCCCTCAGTCATGGAATTGCCATTACAGTCAGTATGTGTTGTCCTGTGCCTGACCTGTGGTTTTTTCTTTCTTCCCCCCCTTACAGAGCAGAGAGATTGGAGAGAGGGATTGCAAGAAAGTAAGCTGCTTGCTCTTTTACACATCGAAAGCAATGCAATTGCGCTGGCAGCCTGCGGCTGGGAGGTGTGGGTGTGCTATGAAAACAGCTTATAGTACTCACTTGAAATCCCTTCTCTAATCTCTTGATTTCTGTAGGCAATCTCTCCTTTGCCTGACACTTCCCCACCTCACAGAGGAGAGAGATTGGAGAGGGATTTCAAGAGAGTAAGCTGCTTGCTCTTCTACACATTGAGAGCAATGCGATTGCACCAGCAGTGGGAAAGGGTCAGGCAAAGGAGAGATTGCCTACAGAAATTGCCTGCTGCCCCCCCCCCCCCCCAACGGAGAGCTTGGAGACAAAGGGATTTCAAGAGAGAAAGCGGGTTGATCTTCTACACATTGAGAGCAATGCGATTGCCCCAGCAGTGGGAAAGGGTCAGGCAAAGGAGAGATTGCCTACAGAAATCAAGAGATTAGAGAAGGGATTTCAAGTGAGTACTATAAGCAGAGATTGCCTACAGAAATTGCCTGCTGCCCCCCCCCCCCCCCCAACGGAGAGCTTGGAGACAAAGGGATTTCAAGAGAGTAAGCTGTTTGCATAGTGTGCCTGCAGCTCCCAGTCCCGGGCTGTGGCACAATCTCATTGCTTTCAGTGTCTACATGACAGTAAGCAGGCATGCAAGCATTCCAAAAGGCAGGAGAGTGGTTAGGAGGCAAACAAAAGCCGAAGGTGTGAAACTGAGTAGTCTTGTCTCTTTCCAGCTGGAAAGCACAGTTACAGTCACATGATTTCCCTCTTAGCTACTGCTTTGCTTAGCGGCAGAGTTGCCAGTCCCAATTAGGGTTGTTAAGCGAGGACTACCTATTATAATTCTGTAATGGTTGGGCCCTATGAATTCAATATGGATTGCATTAGGGATTGCAATATACTGCTGGAGTAGATTTGGAGACATAATTAATACAAGGATTATTGCAGAATTTGGTTCCTATATATTTCTCTGATGTGATCTGTTACTGGTAAAAAGCAGATTTGGGTTGTCTCTCAACAAGTCTACATCAAAGACCTATGAAAGGGAAATGTTGATGTCCAAAATCAGTAATAAGTCTCTAATACTGCTAAAAACTACATACAACAAATGGTTTTTCTCTTCTGGATCTATATTGCTGTAATAGACTTTTCTGGGGTACTGAGCCTAATAAATTGGGCTCCACCCACCCTCTTTGTAAGGAAAGTATTTGGTTTTGAGAATATGCTGGTATTTGACCGTAATAAAGATTGATTTGATTTGGGTTTGGGAAATGGTTCATTTAAATCCTTAGTTTGTGAGTCTGAGTCTGAATAGATACAACTGTATTCTAGAGCTTGGCTGTAGATAATGGATTTTGTGATGCATTTTGAATGGAAGATGGAAGCATATATCAGGAATGTGTGAAACAGTCTTTGCACAGAACAGCTAGTTTCTGGTGGTCTGTGTCTAAATCAAA